TAAAATGACCTCTTGAGTAACACTCTGGTAGCAAGAACTTTAACCCTTTTGCCACTATCAAATTATTATCGAATTATTATCATTTATTTTTTATTAGATAACTTTAAAAACGGATTACTGTAATCCTTTGAATGACAATGACAAACCAACTTTCTACTTATTTATGAATTATAAAAGTAGATTGATTTATCACTTTTTGAATTGAAATATGAAAAAATAGTTTCCTATGTTTTAAGTATCCTTTTTATCTTATGATCATTTCATAAATTTGGAAAAATAAATGAAATGAAATAAATAAAATGTTTTGCAGGTAAAATAGGATTGTTCTATTTGATATTTTACGGGGTATTAGCCGCACTGGTTGCAATTTGTTTTTGGGGTTTTTTTCAAACGTTAGATCCAAGGATACCAAGATGGCAATTAGAACGTTCAATAATTGGAACAAATCCTGGTAAATTATATATTTTATGAATATATGGATATTTCGCACACGAATATTCTTTATTTTATATTTTTATTTGTAGGATTAGGATTTAGACCACAACCACCATTAGAGAATGTAGAAAGTACGTTAATTTGGTACAGAGGAACCGATAGCGAGAATTTTAAATATTGGATCGATTCTCTGGAATCGTTTCTAAAAGGTAATATCGAGATTATGATGAAAACGTATACACGTATGTTTACATATATATATGTACGTACAATTAAAATGACAAGATTAATTTTTCAGATTATATAACGCCAGGTTCGATTCCTGGTCTTGGCGCAAATATTAATAAATGTGATTACAATCAACCACCACCGCCTGGTAAAGTCTGCGATGTTGATGTTAAAAATTGGTATCCTTGTACTAAAGAGAATAAATATAATTATCATAAATCCGCTCCATGTATATTTCTTAAACTTAATAAGGTAAGTTGATTTTTCTAAATAAAAATAATGCATGAAATGATAATAAAAAGTTTTAACATTAGGAATCTAATTAAGAATTAAATTTAATGTTTGTCTATTATTAATTTTTAGATATATGGTTGGAAACCAGAATTTTATAATGATACGAATTCATTACCTCAAAACATGCCGATCGATCTCAAAGAGCATATCACTGGATTAAAAAATACTTACCAGCTTGACACAATTTGGGTATCTTGCGAAGGAGAGAATCCAGCAGATCAAGAGAATATAGGACCAATTGAATATATTCCACGAAGAGGATTTCCTGGTTATTTTTATCCTTTTGAAAATTCAGAGGGTTACCTCAGTCCTTTAGTAGCTGTTCATTTCGTCCGTCCTCGCAGTAAGTGTTCATAAATATGTGTTCATAAATATATACAAAAATTAAGATTTAAAAATTCTGTTGATATTAAAGAATCGTTTTTTAATTTAAATAATTTAATCTATAACTTTGTGAATACTTTTGCGTAGGGAAAAAATCTAAAAAAAATATTTTGTTACAGCTGGAATTTTAATAAACGTAGAGTGCAAGGCGTGGGCGAGAAACATAAAACATAGCCGCCATGACAAAATGGGCGTAGTCCATTTCGAATTGATGATAGATTAACATCGTCTACATACGTCTCTCTGGTCTCTCCTTTGTTAGCGTACAGAAATTCAAAGCGAATCTCATGGTTTTCTGACTCTTCCACATAGCTACTTTTAAAACGATTTATCAAGTCGTTAGAAATCGATGACCGCTGCCAAATGTGGAAGAAACTTTCATCAAGTACAAAGTTAAATGGATTTTTGATGTTTGTACCATTGAAAATCCGATATCTATTAAATTTCTACGTATCGAGGGAAAATATAAAATTTGAAACTTTTGTTTTATCGTTTTATGTTTATGATCTTATTTTATTAGATAAAAAGAATGACTTTATGAAGAAAAAGAATATATTTACTTTGTATATTTATTTTGTATGTGAAGATAATCTCATTTTATTCATAATTGTATATTTTACAATTAAATTTTAATAATAAATATAGACTATCGTTTTTTCTCGGTACTGTAGCTGAATATAATATTTCATATTTATATTATGTTCTCAATTGTGTAATTAACTTATAATTAATGAATGCAGAAATTTTATCTTACTTCAGATTCTATTTCGATTCAAAGATTTTTGATCCTAAAGTTTTAATTTTGATTCGAATAATGATTTTTATAAATTAGATGTATATTTTATAAATAATCGAGATCAATATTTAAAACAAATGAATAAATACTGTGTCTTACAAATATTCAGATATAATTGGATAAAAATTGATTGCATAAAAAATGATGTAAGATTTAGATATAATTAATTACAAATTTGGTATTTTTCTTTATTATAAAAACTCATTATATCTATGGAAAATAGATCTCTTAATAAACAAAGTAACAGAGATAATATATATCTCTTATCTTTGTATATACATTATATATATATTGCTTCTAAAATATGTAAATGTATTATAACTGTGTATACATATATTTTTATAGTTAAGACTATTTTCTTTTAAATTATCATTTTTATCATTTATTTAAAAGAATATTTTGAAAAGGAAAGACTTAAAAATCTCTTTTATCAATAATAAATTCTTTAAGAAAATTTATTTCAGAAATTAAATTTTTCATTATTCATTATTCAATCTTAATAAATTTATTTTATATTTGTAATCTAAACATTGCAATTATTTTAATTGATCAATGCATTTATTGTTCAAAATTGTAACGAGATAATAAAAATATTATTATAGACATTTTTATAATGGCAAGTTAATGGCAAGTTATTGGCATTTATTATTTTTCTGTATAATTAATAATTAATATTTTCTGAAGTTCATTAAATTTTTGTATAACTTTTAAAAATATTTCAAATATCTTAATTCTTTAAAAACATTATTAATGAAGATATGAATATTTTAGGAATATCAGATGAATATATTTGTAAATATATTTTAAAATAATATATTTGTAAATATATTATACCATTATTATTATATTTTTAACATCAGATTGATACAAAAATATACATTTCATTTATTATTGTTTCTTTTATATATATAAATTAATTTAAAATTTAAATAAATCATTTTTGAAAATGATTTCCATTGAAAATTAAATTAGCATACTCAAATAAATGATTTATAGAATATAACTTATATTAATGCACGAATATTACAAAATTAAATTATACAGTTACAACAATATATGTATATCAAAATCAGACGAAAAATCTAAAAATTTCTTACTTTGAAAATATTTTAATTGAGCTAAAAAAATAAAATCTCGTTTTATAAAAGAAAAAACATTAATTTTTTTCTAAAACGTCTTAAATAAATATAATCAATTTTATAATTTTCTTTATTATCATGATATCAAGTATATATTATCATTATATATTTGTCTTATTTATTGCAAATCATGTTATTTCTTAAAATCAAATTTATTCTTAATATATGAATCTGGAGTTAAGTTAATTTTTTTTAGTAAAAAAAATTGGAAGAACTTTTTTTAAATTTGTAATTAACCGTAATATGTAAATAAATTCTATGATTGTTTATTTGATTATTACTTTTTTTTTTTATAATTTATAAACATATTTCTCCATATAAAAATTTTCAATTTTCGATTAATTTAGTGAAATAAAATTATATTTTTAACTTTATATTATTGTTATCTAGAATTTGTTTACTTTTTAAAATTATTTTTATTTATATAGTGAGGTACATAATTATTTTTGTCAACTTAAACTACTTTTCAAACATTTTGTTTGAGAGTACTATAAATGACATAAGTACATCAATTTAATAAGTACCTATATCTAAGTATAATATATCAAGTTATATGTATATCAATTTGAATACTACAGTTTTTAGATCCCAAAAGACTCTTCGATTTTTTTCTCAACTTTTAAATAAATTTAATTATTTGTTTATATACAAACATGCTATTAGTAATATACATATGTTTCAAGCGAAAGAGAAAATATTTATTTACTATTGTAAATTTTATATATATATATATATATACACATGTATATATATCTAATAATGATTATAATAAAAATATTAGTGAAAAAATTAATAAATACTTGATTATTTTCAAATATAATATTTTTTGTTTTTAGATTTATTATTCAAGTTAAAGAAAAAATTTAATAGTATATATTTCACATGTATGTTTTCTTTTTTGGTAAGCAAATAATTTGCAATAAAATAATTGTTCATCGATGAAATTATACGTATTATTTAAAATAAAAATTTAAAAAATTGATTTCAAATTTTATGTCATTTTATCTAAAATTTACTCATTATTTAGAAATTATTTGTTTGCAATATATATATATATGTATCTAATCCCATATAAATAATCAACATTAAAAAAATAACAAAGTAATAACATATTTTTTTTTTTTTTTTACGTTTTGCTATTTATCATAATAAATCATAAAAATAAAAATTAAAAGAAATTTATATTTTATATATATTACATATATGCATTCTTTTTTATATTATGATTATGTTTAATTTGGTATTTATATTATAAATATTATTAAATTTATATAATTTCGTTAATCATAAATTTTGTATGTCTAAATTATACTTTCTCTTTTGTTGGAATAGAAAAACAAACTTTCCATGACTATTTGAAATATTAACTTGTAATAAGTACCAGTAGCTATACATATATTTTTTTTTTTTCCTAGAATATGTAAACAAGACATTTATTATTTTAATATTATTTAGTGATAATGTCTTATCTATATTTGACTTTTATAATTATAATAAGTGCCAATGATTAATAATTATTTTATTTTTACAGTAATTTTCGCCAACATTTAACAATAAACACAATCATGAAATCGAAATAGTTTCATGGTGAATTTAATGGATCGAGTAAACAGCATTTTCTGACTTTACGTCTAATCTTATTACGTCTTTAATTTTTTATGGACCTATTAAAAAAGCGAAATATGTTTATTTTTATTTTTCGTTTACCAAAGTTTCGTTGATTGTTTTCTTCAAATTTACCACACATCTTTCGTTCCCGTTGTCCACATTATTCTGCAGATATTTTTGTATCCGAAGGTACAAGATTTTATTTCTATATAGAAATGCAATAATTATCATTCATCGATCATAAGTTCAAAATGTACCATGCCATGCTGTTGATTTTGAGACGTCGCATATTTTATATTCTTTGCCCAAGCTCGACATTCGACATTGATTATTTTATTTCCTAAAAAAATTATTGATAATTTTTAAATAAATTCAATTTAAATAAATAAATTAAATAAATTCAATTTTTTCCTCATTGGAAAAAATAAAATATTATTTTTAAGGTTATAAATTGTAATGAAATTTGCTCGTAAAAAGTTTCCACTTAATATTCATAAATATACGTAATTCTTCCATAATTTGTTATATATGTATATCGATTAACGAAGCCAAGACATTGTGCGTGTAATTTTAAAATTGTTTACTCGATAACATCGGCGGTAATCGTGTTGTAATGCTCTGGATTTTATTAGTTTTAGCTGGACTGTGTTATTTGCTTATTTATAAGTCGATCAAAGAAATTTAATTCACTTACTTGCTGGTCGAAGAAAATGCACAGCAACGACAGGGCTTAAATAACCAGGAATATTTTGATATGGATAATAATATCCTGGAAATCCATGATTTTCGGGATAATAATTTAATTCACCGATATCCTCGTTGTCATGAGGATTTGCACCTTTGCAGGATACCCATACGGTATTTAACTGTAAAAACAAAAAAGAGAGTAGTGTATTTCAAATAGAAAATATCATAGTATCAAATTTGCAGATTTTATTTTTAAGTATTTTTAAGTTTATATCTTTATTACGTAGCGATTATAAAATTTAGTATTATTTAAAGAATTTTTTATTATTTATTTTGAGCAATACAATAACAATGTATGCAATACTATTGTTATCTGTTTTTAAATATCGACTGATATAATTAACTGACCGACTAACTAACCCATGAACTGTTGGTAGATTTAATATGTTCAACAAGATCAGGTGGCATTTCGTTTGGTAAATTTTCAGTGTCGTTATAATATTCTGGTATCCAACCGTATATCTGAAAATTATATATACTTATACATTATGCAACTGATAAATAAAGATAAAAGAATCGAAAAGAGAAAGTTAATAATTATCGATAAAAATAAACAAATTGTGAAATCATAACATACTCTATTCAATTTAATGAAGATGCAAGGAGCGGAATTATTAAAACCATATTGATGGTTAGGCGAGCAAGGGCCCCAATTGTTCACCTCAACCGCGCAAACGTGTCCTGGTTTAACCGGTGTATTATAATTACAAATTTGCTGATTCCTACCACCGTTTGGCAACAACGATGAATTAATATATTCTATAAAAAATAAATAATCCATATAAAGATATTTTTTTCCTCGACTAATATTTTTTAATTCGAAATATAATACATATTATATTATATATAATTAATACAATAATAATTTACCTTCTAAAAACGTATCTAACAGGCCTGTCCATTTTTGCACGGAACTGGGATCCGATGAACTGTACCAAATTAAGGATCGTTCGTCAGCATTATTAGACATCGGTCGAAATCCTAAACCTATTTAAGCAAACAAAAAATATTATTATTGATCGATCATGTGCTATTTTATTTTTTATATTATATTAGCAAAATAAATAATTTATTCACACTATCTTCAAACGTTATTTTTACGAATGCGTTTTTGCTTAGTTTCATTTATATTTTCATCTATCTTAGACGTAGATTATGTATAGTTAATGTCATTGATAGATGCATGTATTGATGAATCAATCGATTCATAATCGTTTATCGTAACGCTGCAAAGATCATGCTTTTGTTTCTCGTTTCTTAAATGAGCAATAATATATATTACATTTAAATAGATAGATAAAATTATATTTTTATAATATTTCTTATTTTTTCCACGTACTTACCATTTTCGAACTTATATTTTCGAACTCGAATATTCGGTTTTCATGAGCAGCATGATTTAAGAGATAACGAATTAATTTTTGTTTTGTATAAATTAATTGTATAAATTAATTATTTTATTTTATTTTATTTTTTTTCAATCTATGTGTTAACGTAAGTTTACCTGGATTGGTTCCTATTAAACTTTCTTCAAGAATCCATCTTGGTTTTTCGTAATTTAGTGTAGCTAACAATCCTTTCATGCAAACAGCAAAGAGCAAGGCCAACGCGCTGAAGAAGCAAGTATAGAATGCTCCAGTGATGGCTGGAATAAAGTAAAAAGAAAAAAAAAAATTAAATCTATTATTAATAATAAATGATCGATATATCTATACCATTACACGATCGATAAATCGAGGATAAAGAAATTTCGAAATTTCAATCTTATTCGCCTCCCGTTTATATTTTAAAATAAATCCGTTGTAATTTGATGCGAGTGCTCAATAACTCGTTACAAAATGCAAAAATAATTTTAATTTTCCATTTTTATATGAAAACGGGCCTTAATTCGCATATGCTAATTATAAAATCATACGTCCTCGAAAATTTTCTCCATTTCAACGATTGAAAGGAAAATATTTAAAGCGTGGGCATTGTGCCAAAGTCCGGTCTAAATATAGTTCCTTTTTTAAGAGTAGTGTACGCTACGATTCTGCTTCTGCTTCTTGATCGCGATCAATTTTTCGAGCAATATTCATTTTTCGTCTGACGCGATGCCGACGAAAAGTTCCTAAGTTTTCCTTCCAATCCAATAATATAACATAGCTTGTTAACAATAATTGATACGATTAAATCATTGGTATTGATTATGATAATATTCAAAACAATTACGCGTATTATAAATATTTTAGAATTTTTGTTTCGAAAAATTTTGAAAAATTTTCAATGAAAATATAATGAGATTAATACATGTATTATTGTGCAATATATATGTATATATATATACATATATATATACACTTCAGAATTTCATATTTATCACAGTGGTTTAACCTGTTCTACAGGAAACTATACAATTATATATGTGTACATTATACGTGTAACGAAACATTTACCAATTCACAACATATCTCTGTCTTGCTTAAGTGAAACGAAAATGACTAAAATCTGATCCGCAACAATTTATTAATCGTTAAAAATATTTATATATGTAAAATATATATTCATATTTTACATTCTGTATTTTAATATTGCATTAATATTGATAATAAATTTTATATAGTATATCGTAGTCATAAATAATAGTATCTAGTTTCGAAAATCAATCTCTCAAATGGGTAATTTTTAATTTTTTTTTTTTATTTTGAATGAGAAAGAATAAAAAAATTTCTCCACTAACATAATCAATTAGCAAATTTACATGTATATTAGTTACATAGATTTATAGCAATTTAAGCAATTAAAATGACTTCCTATTTTTTTTTTTTGCTTTTCATAAACTCGTTTTATTATTATTCATCGACCGAATTTAGCGACATCGACACTTGTGTGACCATTTACACGTCCAGTACTGTAAATGTGCTAATGTGTAAATTATATACATTTAAAAAATACAAAATTTTCCTTATCTTTTATACATTTTCATTTATTTACGTGTACATGTTAAATTGTAAAAAATGTAAGTAAAGAATCTTTTTGTTTCCTCAAGATAATTGATGTAATTACAAAATCTTCTTTCTTTTTCATCTTGAAAAAATCTTTGAATATATATATATATTTTTCTTTATCATATCATATTTATAAATATATATGATATGATATGATAAGAAAAAATATTTATATTCAAAGGTTTTTATATATTATATTATAATCTAATAGAAAAATAAATAGTATTTATGATATAATATTTTAAATAGACTTCACAAGTGTGTCACAAACTCTTACTACTATTAGAAGACATTAGAAGCATTAATATCAATAAATCCTAAGAGAAGATACTTCCGTTCTAATCTTATTCTTTCTCTTTCATGCATCCTTATTCATTCACTTTCACTATTTCTCTCTCTTTCTTTTTTTATTCACCGAAAAAAATTTCATCAAAGTGAAATATTTTAAGCATCGTTTTTAAGGTTAACATTGTTTCGTCATTGAATGTTAAAGAAATAGAAAGTGTATTTTGTAATGTATTACTATTTTCTATAGATTTGTGTATAGGAATGCATCATTTATAAAATAAAAATTAATAATCAAAGTAGAAATAATTATTTACGTGTTCTCGAATCTATATATTTGAAACAATGATAATATTAAACATACAAATATTTGGAATACGTTGTTGTCTTATTTCGTATATCTGTCGATAAAACAACACACGAAATGATATGATTTGATTTCGTATCGTATTATTTCCTGTATAAAAATAGAAAGAAATAAATCGCATGCATATATCATTTGAAAACGTAATGAGTAAGCGATCTTAATTCGATTTTAATACATCCATCTGCATCCATATTTTTCCTTTATATTTTCCTCACGGGTATATCCCGGTAAAATTTTTCCCTGTAATTCCTGAAAACAATTTTTTCAATTTTAAATTTTACTTATATAAAATTTAAATAAAACATGTTGTAAATTTTATTAATTAAAATTGATTAATTAAAACAATTATGTAATACTGACCGTTGATTGATTGAAAATTTTTAAAAAATTTTCTTAAAATTTGGACAAATAATACGAAATTGTAGAATCAATATTTAATAATATGATCTTTTCTCGTGAGATGCATCTTCTTAAATAAACAAAACTTTGTAAAATTATCTATCGCTCAAATCAAAATCTCTAGAGGATAAATTTTTCTAATTCCAACATGTACATTTACATATCGTATTATTATCAAACATTGAATGAATAAATTCCATCTTGGCTATTCGAGTGATAAATAATACATAACTGCTTTTGTTATGGGCTCCTACGATACATTTTAAGCAATCCTCCACTTCCTCCAATTCTTGTACATCTACATTCATAATGTTTACTTCATTTTCTTAATTCTCATAATAATTCAATATAATATAATTATTATTCCGCGAAATAAAATAAAATACATTTTTATAATATATTCATTTCAATTTTTATTACATTTTATTCGAATAAAACGTAAATTTAATTATGTTTTATTAAAATATAATTACAGTGAAACACAAAAATTCTTTACGAAAATATTTTTTGCGTCGCTATTTGAATTTACGATCATCCGAATATTAATTGAAATTCATAAAATGTAATACCAGGAAAAAATTAAACTCTGCAAACATTCAATTATTTTGAACATGTGCCAATATTTATCTTCAATTTCATTGACTATTAAACTGCAGACCATGATATCAACAATAATAATAACAATATATATATATATATTCATATAATTTAGATATTCACAGTATCGTTATAAATAGTTTGAATAATCTTTAAGACTTCTCGATGGAAATTATATAAATATATATAGAAGTTCGGTTAATGTAATTCCTAATTTCTTATCGTACTTATATAGAACACACGACGGTTTCAATGCCATTGATAACAATTAAACACTGCTAGAAACTGTCTTTCAATTTTTCATGCAACATATCCCAATCTCAATTTTTATTATAATCATTTTTATCAAACCATGATCCTCGGATGTAAATTTATAATTGTCACGTACATATTATCTGAATATATATTTATATTTCAGATAATAATAATAAGATCGAAAATATTTCGATTTCTAGATAATAATTCAGTTTTTTAGATAAGCATAAAAGACAAAAGAAATTCCAATTCTTGATCCTTGATTCGCGCATTCAATTTGATTGGATCAATGACAAGGAGGGTAGAAATTTGAAAAATTATTCGTCGATTTGTATTTCGAATTGAAATAACGCGGGTATTGCAGCCCGAAGCACATGCTATCCATGCGCCTATACAAACAATATCATTCGTAGAATGGCCACTTAATTATTCAATTATAAGGAAATAATTACCCCATTTCTTTCCCGTGTGACCGCAGTAAGTGCCTTCGACTGGATCGTGAATAAAATCTCGCAGAACTTTCCAATGCGTCTTTTTCTCGGGTACTCGCTTGTAATCGAACTCGTAAGTACCATTCTGCAATTGTTTGCCCGGCACACTCATTTCTCTCCGACTATCTCTCACAACACTCGTTGAAACTCTCTCGTTCGACTTTTGGACAACAATTTCCCGACTTGGAACTTGACTTTACGAACAAACCGAAACTGTCTCTGTGTGAGAAAAACAAATCGGTCGAGCGGCCGTCCAGCGAAGTAATTGTACTCCGCTCGAGCTGAATCAGCTCACTGCTCTCTGTCTCTGGAAGAGAGACTAAGCGATACTTGGGCAGCTCGAAGTTCTACGTCTACCGATCGAGTAGTAGTAGTGGGAAACGCCAAGATATGTCAGACACTCGTCGCCTTATGGCGCACTGACTCACAGCTAACTATCAACTAAAACTCATTCCCACGGATATTGTTTCGTATCAATCGATTAGTTAGAACATCACGTGTCGATCGTATCTTATCTAAATTACTCGTTAGATCTGATACTTTTAAGTGAAAATCGAGCATCGATATCTTGTTCTTCTTCTTCTTTTTTTTTTTTTTTTTACTGTGAAAATTATCAAATTAAATTCTAAAGTTTTCCTAAACTTTAAAACCAGTGTGTATAAGTATTTAAATAGACCGAACATTGAAAGTCGTGACAAAGAATTATCGACACACATTTATATCGATTCAATATGTCGTTTATGGAAAATACCGTTTGATTCTTTATAGACGAATAAACCGATATATATATTTTCTCTGTGTCACGCATATCCATGCAATTTATTCTTAAATTTGAAAAGATTACCGATTGAATTTATATTGTTTTGTGTGATTTAATGACAATGACAAGATGTTGCTGACAACTTTTTTTTCGAAAAGCAAAATTGTAATTTTTATCATTATCTAAAAATTAGAAAGAGTAAAGTAAATATAATTTTATCTGATTTCATGATAAAGTATGTATTTGTAATTTGAAAATATATATAATACTTTTAATAATATATATATTTTCTCGCTTATTCTTACAAATATTCATGATATATTTTCAAATCGTAATTCGTTTATTCATCTTCATTTTTATTTTGTTCATTTAAATAATACAAAATCACGAGATCTCGATATATTTAATCGTATAATATATATAAATCTAATATATAAGATATTAGATTTTATCTATAGAATTATGCAATGATGTATAAATCAGAAGCATTCAAGGTTACATTATTTCTCGCATGTTTCTTGTCATGAAATATATCGTAAATCGCGTTTTATTGTAAATTGGATTTTACAATACACACATTGAAGAAAGATTCTTGTCGAAAGGCCACGAGGAAGGTGGCTTGAATCAGATTTGAATTAAATGATAAAAATTAAATTATTTCTTCTATAAGGTAATTAGTAATAAATCTCAATTATCCTTCCGTAATTTTCGAAATGATTATTATTTTTTTCTTCGTGACAATAGCTCGTTATATAAGAATTACAACAAAAGAGATTTATTCTTGTCACATTTACTTTTGTATTTAAATTAAATTAATCTCCTGTTTAAAATTAATTTTAATCAATCTTCCTCCTCAATGAATAATCTTTAATGATCTATTAAAAAAAAATTATAGAAAAAAAAAATTGTTAAAAATAATTATTTTATAATACATACCTATTATTATTTGAAAATCTAACGAGTATCGAGAATGTTGCTCGATATTTTGAGCCCACAAGTAGCATTCCACTGTCACTAATCTATTTACTGGAACGATACAAGAGTGATTATTTTTCATATATTTGATTCTCGAAAGAAAATATTAAAGTTAACTTACATGTTAAACTATTGAATTTTAACGCGACAATAGGAGACATATAATCTAGCTGTCCGGTAAATGGAAAATATTCAACTGGAAATCCAGGAGTTGGAATGTATTCTATTTCTCCGATATGGTCTTTATCCACGTTATTCGCTCCGTTGCACGACAACCAAATATAAGGCTGAAATTAAATATATATTTTAAATATCTTTTTCGACATTTTAAAAATATTATACTTAT